CCTCCACCATGGGAATGATGCATTTTTGGAGATTCAGGGCCGGTAGCAAAGATGAGTGCCGCCCCATTGCCCCTCATGTGAAGCCGGTGCGCACTTAAGCCTGGCGTACGGTAGAACCACCTGCGGACCAAACAGCGTGGGGAGGGAAACGTACTCTGCAATCAGTTGAGTGCGGTGCCTTTCGTGTCCGCCGAAACCTCCAGGGGGCTCTATGCAGCACAGATATTTGCTGCGTCTAAAACACACCGTTATTTGGTGCCCTCATTAGCGCCAGGCCAAGGTGGCTTCATCACCACTGAACTTGGCCTCGATGGCAGTGCAGTGGTGTTCGTTCCTCCCTCTTGCACCATAGGTCGGCTCCCTTCTCCCCCAGTCTTCTGCCTCGCTTCCAAAACGTGTTTTGAGATGTTGCATTTAGATGTCGTATAAATTAAAAGTGTAGCTTTTGCTTATACAGTGATACCTCGGTTCACGAACGCTTCGGTTCATGAACAACTCGGTTCACGACCAGAAAATTTCATAAAAATATGCTTCGGTTCACGAACTCCGCTTCGGTTCACGAACAGGAGCCGCGCCCATTTTTATGCTAATTCCAGGCTGTCACATGGTCGTGATTTATTGTAACGGGAGCGAGCAATGCAAAATCAGCCGAGGGAGTACCCGCCTCCTCCTCCTCCTCGGGGGCTCGCAACACGTGGTGCGCCCGCCTCTTCTGCCCTTCACGCGCAGGCTACACGCGCGCGCGCACGCACGCACGCGCGCGGACGCACGCGCACGCATGCACGCGCGCGCACCCCGGAATGAGCGGAGAGGCACGCATGCGCCAGCTGTGACAGTCATCCCTCTTCACCTAAAAATAAAAAAACCCCGAGCGATGGATTTTTTTCCACGTATTTTCGTCAGCGTTGACCACAGCCCCCCGAAACGATCTCTCCTTGAAAAATCCATTATGCAAAAATGGAATGAGTGCCATGACTTTTTTTAAAAGCACCACCCCAACATAGCTGTCACGAACAGAGTGTAAAATCTCATGAATGATAATGTGGTCTCTCATTTCTGGAGGGTTATGCAGTACTACAGTAATATGTATTATCATTTGTTTCATATTTTTGTGCTTCAAAAACCAAAAAAAAAGGTCAGAACGGATTAACCGGATTTACATTGAACCCTATGGGAAAATGTGCCTCGGTTCACGACCAATTCGGTTCACGACCAGAGTCATTTCACGAATTAAGTTCGTGAACCGAGGTATTACTGTATGCGCGAGGAGTAATGGTGCCGTCCATCTGGGTTCACCTCCTTATCGTTCCTATCGGTGGAAAATGGGGGGGTCTGGACCTGTCTTTGGCATACCCCTAGGTCAACTTAACCTTGAATGAATAGGTGCTTGCTAAAAGCATGGCTGACATGAATAACAGCATGTACCCGATGCTGGACAATCATGCTTAACATTCAAATACCTCCGATGTGCAATCTCAGGCAAGCGCCCATCCTCAGTTCACTCTGACGCTGTCTTAAATAATCTTCACGACTTGGGCTAGCCACATCGCCACCAAAGCACAAGCACTGGATTTAAAGGGCCACTCAAAATATGCCATCGCGTCTAAACGTTGCTGGGGCGTAATATATTCCTGTAATCAGATTACCGAGAGCGGTAATTATAGTCGAATATTATTGTGGGATTTTCATTTGTAATCCCATTAGCTGGCTCATTGAAGGCGCCACCATTTTACGAGTGGGGGGATAAAGGACTCCACAACACAGAGGGGGTGTGGTGGGAGGGCAGGTTGGGGGTGAGGCGATGCCACACTTGTCTTAATGTTAAATATAAAAATATCAGCACTTTCTGTGTCGGGGTTTTGTAGCCGAGGGAATAGGGCACAAAGATTATCTTTAACATGTTAAGAACACGGGTTTCAAACTCTGGCTGATATTGCATGGTACATTTTATTCCCACCCCCTCGGCACAATCTCTCCACTTAGCAGCACTGTTTTAAACTGTTAACATCAAGCCAATTGGCTCCTACCCCTATCCAAAGAGATTCTGTGTGAAGCTAAACCCTCTTAACTGTTTTATTCTGGCTGCCAAGTGGCAGCAGAATACCCCTGAGCCCCATGTTGTGGCCAGGGTACTCGACTCACATTTGCAAGATATTACGAATACCCAGGCAGTTCAACTCAGCTCACCATTCTTCCAGAGTAGGAAATAGAGGACTGTGGGAAATGAACAGTGGTTCTTGTCCAATTTGAGAACAAACCAGTCCCAAACTTGGCGTGCGGGGATGAATGTTAGCAAGACACCTGGCTCCCTTCAAAGAACTTGAAATGGCACCCGAGTTTACGGTTACAACAGCGACGGCCAAACAGCGCTGCGCAATAAATCAAACTTGGGCATGAGTGACGGCGCTAGCCGCGTGCGTCGAGTTTGTGAGAGCCAAACAACCCGGCGCAGTGTAACGTACTGTACACGCGCTGCACAAGACTCGACCTGAATGGCACCGCTTGTGCCGCATACACAATCAAGTGACGCCAGATGATTTATTTCAGGAGCAGTTTATAAAATAAAACTAATTGTGCATAAACAGCTTCTGTTCCAAATGGCGACAAGTCTAGCACATGTGCATGCAGAACAACCAATTATTCCCAATTCAGCTGCACAGGCTCTTAGGGCAAGTGCCATTAGCGAGTATAAACTCAATCCAGTGTGGCACATTAGGGATTTTTGTGAGGCCAGCACCAAGTACACGCAGCCCTCCGTGTTCTTAGTGCCAATATTGGCCAATAGACGCTAGGCAATAATTGTTGACTGAATCAACCTTGAAGAAGCTACAAATTCCTAAAGATGTAGGTGGCCAAGAATGAAATTAAGATTCTAGCATTGTAATTCAGAAGACTTTCCAACACAAAAGAGTGCACTGCATGATACATCAACGCATACGATCATTTGCGCATGCACATTGGCCCCATTTCTGAGGTCGAGATATGGTGTGGCTCACCTCCCTTTGGTCAATGAAAACCCGCCCGTCTGAATTGGTGTATCGATACATTTTCCTTTCTGATAGAGAGCGGTAAACTTGCTTGGGGGACGTGCAGGCCTGCGTGACGTTCATTATGGGAGGCTCAAAACCAATGGCATGTGGCACAACACACAAAGAGCGAGATGGATCTTGGAAACTGAGGCCGAGAAAGTCCCACTGCGCTCAGCAAGGCCAAGTCCACATTCTACACGGGTCTGGTGTGGGGTGCGAGGTAGCGGTGGCGCCGCACTGTTCATGGACATGATCAAGGAGTGGGAAGCTGCAAAGCACTGCCATGGAATTGAAACTCTGGGCCCCAGTTTAACCAGATAACTCAACACCAAGTTTGAGAAACTAGACAGTAATAGCACACACATAATGTAGGTCAATAACACACATAACCGCAGGCTCGGTTAAATGTGTTACACAATGCCACCTTTTATAATTATGTTTTCCATGTCATTTTATATGGCGTTTCATTTTTAACCAACATTTTAATGCACGCACAGGCTACTTACTACAGACTGAAATACTGAAGTCTTAAAATTGAACCCTCCTAATAGCCTTTTACCAAGGTGGTGCATTATTTATATATAATGAGATAGTGACATCTACTGGTTGGAAAAGGGAAGCACGGGTACAGGCACCATTATAAACATGATCCAATCCCTAAAGGGAGAGGTATCTAGGCCAAAGGCGAAGGGCAGGGCCGGCTGAGAAACTGAGAACCGGCTAGAAAGTTCCACGAGAGGGCGTGGCCGGAGGCGGAGCCTAGCCGCGCCTGCGGTAATATAAGCGGAGGACTCGGGGTTGATGTGTGGAGTCTTGGGTCCGGACTGAGTCGCTGCTCGCCGTCATCTATCTCCGTCGTTCGGCCACGTGGCGGATCTCCCGCCAAGTTCCACCGCCCTCCCCGGCACGCCGTCAGCCAGCGGCTGACCGGGAGCGGACGGGCAGAACCCGCCGTGTAATCAACCGTGTGTGTAGTCTGTCGAACGTTAATATCCGAGTGTGTACTTGGAGAGGAAGCCGATAACGTTGGCCTGTGCTGTGCCCGTACGTGGAATAAAGAGAAGAGTATCCTCTACACGACGTGTCGCGGAAGTCGCTCATTACATATACATGGAAAATGAGAAGTAAATATAAACACTAATAAACAAAGTTATATAATAGCACACCTAGGCATAACCAACTTAGCAAATGTTGAGAGGGCAAGTGTCCCCCAGACACTTTTTTTAAGATGGGCACTGCAATCCCGAGTGTAAGGTATGTAAATAATTTATGAAAAGATAATGGGCAAACACAGGGTAATGCACGTACAGTATGAGCAACATGGATTGCCCACAAACAGAAGTTTTCGTTCAGCGTGTGGGATAGGCCAGGCTGACGAATATTGCAAGTCGATCGTGGTGGTAGAAAGTGGTGGCATGTTGTTCCTCGGTTTCCCCCCCCTGGCTGCGTGATACTATTTTAAGGTTGAGTCACCCAAAAGGAGGTCCAGGTCAGGCTAAGATACTACTTGAAACTAACATGCATAACCGTCAATTAAATCCAGGTTGCAGGAATTATACTGCAGTGCATGAATCCCTGCACTACCTTCCCCACAACACACATACACAAAATAAAGCACCCTGTGGTGAGAATGGGCAGAGGACCCTCCGGTATGTGCACACACACACCAGGTTGGATTAGGCTCGGGGTATGGAAGGGAGACGCAGAAATCCCAGAAGAACAAAACTAAAACAAAGCCACGCAAATGCAAGGAAGCTTCCGCGTAAGCTCACGCGTGCAAACCCAAGTACAGACACACTGGCACGGTTACGAATGAACAAGGACTACTGCACACACAAGAGATCCTTTGGGCTGAAGAAACACATCCAGGTGAACACACCCGAAACCGGTTACAAAGACAACACATGACGAGAAGATGACAAGAACACAAGAGTTGTTGGGCCTGCCGGGTGGATGTTGCAGGTGACTTACGCTTGGCCCCCTTCTTGTTTTTGCGCTCCTTCTTGTACTGCTCTTTGAGCTTGGTTATGAGTCCATGGTCGATGTCCCATTCCTCGCCGCTCGGGGACAGCTCCTCTTTGTCTACGAGCGTCGGCACAAACCACCAAGCCAGGCTTAACAAAGGCATGCGCGCGGGCGCACACGCACACACACTTCCTTGGCGCAAGTACGTATACAGGTGCAGGGACGTGACCTTGTACAGCCGCATGCATGGCCACGTATCTGCCTTGGCATGCATGTCACTTTTAATGCAAACAACAAAATATATACAGATCCCCATACGGAATTATAGACTGTTGTGGCAAGTGCTGTTAGCAAGCACGGCACATCTATGGAGAGGTGGTCTGGCCGACAACGCCTGGCTGCCTTCAACACCCCAGCACCAATGTTCATACCGCACCAGATACTTATGTAATGCCGAGTCGACCTAGGTGTGACCCAGTATTGGTATATCACTTGCCACCGATGTTAACCATGGCTGTAAATCAAACTCATTATGTCACCATGTTTGTAAAGCACTGCGCTCACTACTGGGCCACCACTCCCCGTAAATGCAGCATTGCACACGCACAGCAGGCCTATGTCCTTGGCATGCACCTAAGAGACTTCTTCCAAAAGCAATTACAAACATATATTTTTATCTCCTCACACTCAATAAAAGATAACCTGTTGAGTTGTAACTAATTGCAAGAACAAGACCTGTTGGTAAGCACCTATGAAGGCTGGTATTTCAAGGGAAGGTGGTGTGACCCTCACCATCCCCTAAGCACTCGTTAAAGGCTCAGTTGACCTCGAGGAGACTCATACCAGGCTTATATACCAGTTGGCTGTGGTGAGCATGATATCTAGGTATCGAACACACGTCGCTGGGAATGGAGCACTGCATGCGTGTGAGCGTATACACATGAGCGCAAGGGAAAGAATTATCTGTGCGCATCACGTGCATGTGTATGTATAAAAGACGAATCCTCAACCCACAGGCACACAGCAGACTTAGCACTCAAGAACACATTAAAGAGACTGAGCCCATCATCACTCAGATGATCCACTCTCGTGTAACCTGACAACCAAACCCAGCACTCACTCACACTGGTCAGCACGTAAGCGGACCGATGTGTTGGGAATCTCGGGAATAGAACAGCACATGGGGATAATGTCGTTTCAATGGGCTTGGCCATCAGCTTGCGAACCAAAAACACATTTGATCCCTACTGCCCTTGCAGACAGGCGGCAGGAAATATTCCGGACATTTGTGATGACCAGTCACTGTGAGAATGTTTGGTATTTGTTCTAAATTAGTTCAGGCAATGGGTGAAATATCTGTAATCCTTCGCTTCAGAGGCGGGGTTCGTGGAAATGTGCAGGTTTAATTGTTAATTGCAACCTGCAGAGCCTTGACGTGTCCAGTAGATAGCAATACAGCAAGTAATGCAGCAAGCAGGTTGCTGACATTTTTGTACACGAGTATTTTCCCATCTTACACAAGATTTCCCTTGGCAAGATGGACCCCCCCCCCCCCCACCAAAAAAATAATAAATGAGAAATTAGAAAACCACCTCAGAGTGCTGAGATTCTGAGAAAGAGTCTTGAGATTCCAAGTAATTTGAGAGCAAATAGTTTATTATTAGTAGTGAGTGAATAAATCGTAAATATGGAAAACACACCACTCACTTAACTTCTTGTGATAATTCAACACTTTTGCCGACAGTGGTGGCGTACGACTGTAATCCAACAACTAGGAAATGGAGTTTGTGGATGAGCCAGGGATGGAGACGTGACACCATGTGTCTGTCCCAGAGAAACGTACAGGGCTAGCCGGCCCACCCTTGTACCTGTCCCTGGGAAATGTACAGGGCTAGCCGGCTCACCCTTGTGTCTGTCCCAGGGAAACGTACAGGGCTAGCCGGCCCACCCTTGTGTCTGTCCCTGGGAAATGTACAGGGCTAGCCGCCCCACCCTTGTACCTGTCCCTGGGAAACGTACAGGGCTAGCCGGCCCACCCTTGTACCTGTCCCTGGGAAATGTACAGGGCTAGCCGGCTCACCCTTGTGTCTGTCCCAGGGAAACGTACAGGGCTAGCCGGCCCACCCTTGTGTCTGTCCCTGGGAAATGTACAGGGCTAGCCGCCCCACCCTTGTACCTGTCCCTGGGAAACGTACAGGGCTAGCCGGCCCACCCTTGTGTCTGTCCCTGGGAAACGTACAGGGCTAGCCGGCCCACCCTTGCATGATACCGGTTGTCTCAGCGGGTTCTCACCTGGTGTCAAGGAATGAAGAGTGTATTGAAAGCGGTACAGCAAGTAGGGTTCTGACCTATCATTGTTATGAGTTATCCCCTCCTATGCATGGGTTTTATTCAAGTATTCTAGTTTTTATGATAAATGGAATCTGGCCAAAACGCCTCAAGAAGCAGGGCCCTCTTCAAAAATAGTCAAGTGATAAAGGAAAACAGAATCTTAAGATAATGTGAGGGTTTTGTGAACAGAAAAGTTGAGAAATATCAGGATTATGAAATGTAATTTGTGTTGTCTCATGTTTTAAGTGCTGTGACAGAGACAAAACGCTTCACTGCAAATGAAATTTGAAGAATTTTCAGAACTATAAATTAGAATATTTTCTAAGTGCACGAATCACCTGACGTTACAACAAACTGTATAATTAGGTCCTTTTTTGGTATACTGACTAGTCTATTGAGATTTGCTATAAGGTTAAAAATGTTTAATTTAAAACTCCTCAAGCAACAGCCTTACATATGAATGGCTTCCGGAAGTGGCAGCAGGTTACTACTTCTGGGGTCACTTGAATCTCTTATGCGATGGTCCTCCTCCTCAATGCTCATGTTAAAAAAGGTTAACTCTTAAGAGCTCACGGCTTGGCTAAAATCCACAGAAATACTTCTGCATGAATACTTTATCTTGCGGTTTGACAGACTATCAATCCAATACTCTTGAGAATCCAGTTCAACATGAAGAATAAAACATCTATTTAATACCTTCGTCTCCCTCATGGTTGAATTAACCCAGTAGGGCCCATGATTCCAAATAAACACATTGGCCGAAAGTTCAAGGTTAAGAACAGTTCTGATGTGCATGGCATAAAAATACGGCGATTGCCAAGACTGCTCAACACGTCATTCTAATTCTGAACTTCAAGAGCCATTTGAAGATGTACGGGAATTTTTTTACTTGAGTGCTCATTTTGGCCGCTCTAAGCACTTCTGCACTAACTTAGTGGTAAAAGACATGACATTTAAAATGTTACCTTTTAGGCAGCCAGGTGCACCAGATAAACATTGTTGGCAGACATAGCACATCACTCATGTGTTCATCCTCATTACAAAGAAGTCCGTATAGGTGGCACTGTGGTAAGAGCATTACTCACAATCACAAGAGTTGAAAGTTTGGAGGTCGATTGAGCACATTATCTCACTTAACTCAAGAAAAACGATTACCACTTTATGGAAAGTAAATTTTTATCAACCTTTAGTAAGGCCAGCACTGCTGTAAGAATGTGGAATTTTCACCATTGGCTCAGGTTGGCAACAGAACGAGCACAGTCCAATAGTTGTTTGAAAGCATAAACTGGGGTAAACAAAGTATATAGATAAGAAATACCCCCACCATTTCAAAACATTAAGGTCATGATGTAGTCGTAAAGACAATTCCTGTTTTGAAAAGATTCTGAAAAGAGTGCAGGAAGATAACCCATGCATATGAGGGGAGTGTCCTGCATGGATAGGCTGCAAAACTCTGAACACATGTCAGAAACATACTTGCGGTACTGACATTGCACCATTTGGTTGGTCCGACACCTCTTTTAAAAAAAGTTTGTACAGATATACAAGTTCCTCTAGATCTGTCCAAGTGGGGAAAATTATTTTCCCTGCAACAACCCGAGGACTTGTATAGTGCATACCACCATCACAACCATCACCATCGTCACGGTATTTGTAGAAATTAATATGGAATGGGGGCCTCCTTTCACAGCAGTTCCTGTGCCCGTGTGCCAAAAGGATAAATGCAGTGGCCCTTATATTTATATTTGACCACGATACTTACACACAAGCATCTGTATCCAGAAGTGAATAATGTCATAGGACACCAATTCACAGAGAGGGCAGGACAAACTGGTGGCACACGTTTTAACTGGCAATTTCGTTGCAGCAGATGACGCTCATAGCAATAGGCAAGGGAAATCAAACTAGCAAACTGTGCGACTTGGGTAGAAGAGTGTGCTTAGAGACCCATATCCACAAGTTGACTTGAAAACTGATAAAGACAACCCTCAACAGGCAACTAAATAAAATAGAAGTAACATACACACAACCACCAAAACAACTGTTAAGAGACAATTCCCACCTTGAACACAAGGAAACACACTCATGACAAACTCAGAAACACGACACACAAGTGATGACACAATGACACAAATGATGAAAGGGAATGGTACAGGATTTAACTGCAATGGGTAAAAGTGGCTGACGCTGGTGGCGATGACAATCAATAAAAGGCATACGCAACAATCACTATGCTGTTGAGCACCATCAGCAATTTGCGTGGCCCATAAGCCTTACGCTGTAATCACCAAGCTGCGGCCCGACTGTGGCCAAGTGTCAACTAAGCCAATACGTGCAAGGGTGATTACGAGCATGGATTTCTGTTGTGATTAGCACCAACATTCAACACCTAGCGCATTATCGGTACAATGCTGAGCTGTACAGTTTTTATGTACTTATTCTAGTGTGTGCCTTATTATACTATGGTATAAAGTGGTGCATTGAACCGTAATGCAATGGTACAGAAGGGTAGAGCACGGACAAAGATAATTGACGTGGAATATGCAATATTTTGGGTAGCACCACACAAAGCATGTAATAGGATGCAAAAGGAAAGTATTTTTGAGTATATCAGTGGCACCTCAACCTCTGCCTTGCAACCATCTCGCTAACAGAGACAAAGACCCCCCCTTATAGCCTTAACAGACTGTTGGGGCAAGTGCTGTTAGCGAGCACCTATGAAGGCCAGCACGCCACACGAGGGGGTGGGTGGCCAACACCACGCCCGGTCGCCTTTGTCTCCCAAGTGGTGATGTTTACACATTGGACCAGGTACTCATTTGAAGCTGAGTCGACCTAGGGGAGGCCCAGGACCGATTCAGATAATCGTCACAGGTGTTGGGCGTCAGAGTGAGTCGAACTCGGCTGCGTGCCAACCGTTGCACTACTGCTCCCTACTCGTGGACACACACATACCCGCTTTGGATCATCATCCAACAAATAGGAGTATTTATACTATTATAAGATTTATACTCCTATTCATTGTCTAGGGTATGTTTTTTGTATAGGGTTTTACATGTTTATTTAAATTATTTTATTTTTAGTTTATTTGGCACAATACCGTACTTATTTCAATTGTGATGTATATTTTTGGTTGCCATGTACCTTACCCCCTTATTTTGGTAAGGCTTTAGTATTGAATATCGTGGTTTTGGTTTTCATGGCACTTTCCAAAAACTTAATCCCCGTGATATTCAAGGGTCTCTTGTCCTTTACTTTTCTAGATAAGCCTCACTAGATCTAAAGACCCAGGAGAGTATTGTATGAGGATATTTGTCTCATTATATTTATGTTAATTATTGTGATACTTTGTTGGCAGTGGTCCACAATCACATATAACAAAAAAAAACTTGTATTCATCAAGAACACCGTTTTAAAAGAACACATATGTAATAGGTAATGCTTTCTTTGGGCCATGGTCCTTCTTTGTACTGTGAAGGGCTATCTTAGGTCGTCTGTATGTGGGAGAAAATGGCAGTGCCCGGAGCAAGCCTACGCATGTAACGGGAGAACACTCAAAGGTCGGTTGCAAAGAAGGGTTAAAAATCCATTTTCTGTACTGCCATCTTCTGGCCACCTCGCCGCCCAGTAGATTTTGGGGTTTCGTAATTCTCTGCACGATCCACCAAACCTTGTCTACAAAGTGCCGGTCTGCCACAGCCTGGTGAAGTATGGCACAAGGACGGTGTTCCATACGGAGGCTGTGGGGGTGCAGAGGGGAGCGCCGTACCCCACTCAGTGCCGTCCCCGGAACTGCGCGCCTCACCCGCACCCTCCCCGTCCTCTGTGGTCACCAGGAAGTCAAACTCCTTGAGCGCCTCCTCCGTGTCGAGGTCATCAGCGAGGTCCACCGGGCCCTCGTTAACAATCTGCGTCGTCACACAGCGGCACTTGTTACCAAACTACAGCATCACCCTGTACGAGGAAATTAGTCAAGTAAATGTTGTGACTGATGGTCCGTCTTATAGATGGGTTGCCTAGGTTGTACGTATCATGTACCCACCTCCCCTGTTTGCCCCACCCCTTTCGAATTGGTCACAACATCTCGCTTCATTGGTTAGTTAGTGTAACAACATTTCAGGAGGGTAATTTCAGGCTAGGATGACTGGTGAAGGTGATGTGAATGTTGGTTCGTGTAGGTTGTTGCATTGGAGGGTATGTTTCGCTAAGCTTTTCGGAGGGTCATGGCATTACAATGAAAGGTGTGTGGAGATTTTTCGAGTTGGTGGGGGCTTGACTCATGTTGGATGTTGTGCGTTTGGCATGTATAGGTTGTGTAGAGTCATGTGTGTATGTTTAGTTAGTCCAGACTTGGGGTTAGTGAAAACATAGTCACGGTTAAATTTCGATTTAAAGCTTTCGTGACTGCAGGGATTCATCTTCTTGGTTCTTTCGGTAAAGTCACGTAGAGTCTGATTTCAGACTCTGTCTTCTCGACAGACCTGTTCTTCACCTGAGGACGGCTGCTTGCGTTGTGGCCGAAACGTCGTGAGAATTATTTTTATTATTTTATTATTTCCATTCTACGCGACTTTACCGAAAGAACCAAGAAGATAGTCACGGTTGTGTAGTCACGGGCGTGTGTAGTAATTATTATGGATTTTGCAACAAAAGTGAAAGTGTGTGTAGTCAAGGTTTGTGGCAGGTGATTGTTTTAGTTTGTTTTGTGATCAGTGTGTAGTTAGTCCCGGTTTGTGTTGTTGCATAGGCGTGTGCGCACGCTTGTTTAATTAGCCTGGGTTTGTGCTGTCATCGGTGAGTGTGCGTATTTTTTGTTATAGCTAGTTTCTGTGTTGTGTGATATGTGTGCGTATGCGTAGCTAGTCTCCGTCTGCTGTGTGAAATGAGTGTATAATTAGTCCAGGTATTTGCTTGGCAAATGTTAGTAATGAGTTCGGGTGTTGTGATGGGTGTGGATGTTTGTGGCGAATCTGGGTCATGTCACCGGGGGCTCCGCCGCACCTTCGCCTTTTTGCTGGCGCGTGGCCGATCCCGCTCATCGACGGGGCCGACTGGGTCGTCGTCCTCATCGTCGTCGCTGTCCTCCTCCTCCTGCAGGAACTGGAAGGTATCCACCACCGAAGGTACCAGTGGCTCGGAGCGAGACTTGTCCCCGTTCCTACGCAGGTCAATGGGTGTCACGCCATGCCACACTATTAAACTATTTTAAACTGATAATAGGTTTTTACCCTTTTTTCTGGCAACAATTTAAATTTTACCAGGTAAGGCCCACTGACCTTACCACAAATAATATCTCTACGTGGAAATGTATAGCAGCCAAACACTCTTAGCACACGTTATAGCACGTTATAGCACACGTTATAGCACACGTTATAGCAGCCAAACACTCTTAGCACGTTCTAGCACACGTTCTAGCACACGTTCTAGCACACGTTCTAGCACACGTTCTAGCACACGTTCTAGCACACGTTCTAGCACACGTTCTAGCACACGTTATAGCACACGTTATAGCACACGTTATAGCACGTTATAGCAGCCAAACACTCTTAGCACACGTTTCTAGATGTGGAGGAGAAAACCGGAAGACCGAGGAAAATCCACGCGATCAGGGGAAAACATGCAAACTCCAAATATACAGGCACCAGGGTCGGAGTAAAATCCACGCGATCAGGAAAAACATGCAAACTCCAAATATACAGGCACCAGGGTCGGAATAAAATCCACGCGCTCCTAAAAACCAGACGAGGTAGTTACCATCTCGGCACCGTAGCGTCTATTATATCTCACCAAACCATACCAAACTACACCGAATTGCAACAACCCATACGTCACCATGACACAGCAAGCCATAGTACGTGGCACCCCCGTCGAAGATCACAACACGTCATACCACACAGTTACACCACATTACAAAATTCACCGTGTGGCATCAAAATATGTCACACACACCATGGCACATTAAACAATGAGGCACGCCAACTGAACAATACCATATCAAGCCACAGCACATCACATCAGAACACATGAATACAAATGGCACAGAAAGTTTCACAGACATGAATGCCAACACATACACAAAAACAAAATGGGCGCTAAACCACAGGTACCAAAGCACGTTGGGTCTGTACCACCCTGCTTGGAAAGTTTCCCAAAAACGCACCTTGAAATCAGCACACCCTTCCAATGCTTTACCGTCAATAACCAACAAAAAAGGAATAATGACGGAGGCTGCACACTTCTGATTTTCTTTTCAATTGAGCCGCAGAGTACAGTCAAAATGAGGCGTTTCACTTCCCCGCACCAGAGCGTGCGTGGGCGGCCGCTGCCCTGATGAAGTCAGGGGATGCGGTCTCTAGGGAAGGGAAACACAATGGCCGGCGCTGAGAACCCCTTCCTGCTGCCCAAGGTGCACGAGCCCACGTGGGAAGGAAAGGACAACAGTGGACACTGCACCGGGCTACAAGGAAATGCATAGCGGCACGGGGCTTGAATCAGCGTGAAGATAAACGGCACCAGTGGGTTGTATCACAGTGATGTGCCATGCGAGGACAACGATTTGGCTGGGTTTTAAGGGAGTTCATTGAAAATGGCTGGCAGATTGGTTATCAGCTTAGTTATGGATAGTTTGGCCAGCTAGGGGCTAGTTGACCAGTGGTAATGAATCTATAATTATGGAATGGCTGGATTTCACTTACATCACGTGAGTTATAAGCGAGTACCATTGAAATTATTTGGCTCGTTTCTAGTTGACTTGCAATAGGAGATTCATTACCAGTTGGTAAGTTAGGATTTTGTTGACTATGGGTAAGGTGAGTGAGTCAGGGACCAATTCACTTGTGCAAACTGGAAGCTGAAAAGAGTTGAACAAAATCAATGGATATTTCATTTTGAAATTCCGAATTGAGGAGCTAGTTGAATAGAGTCGAGGCTGATTAAGAATCGATTAGGTGCCAGTTTTGACAACGAGTTGACTGGGGCTAAGGCTTATTATGGGCTGGCTAGCTGACGGCGCACGAGATTACAGGAACAAGGCCAGGATGGTTAAGATTTGGCTGACTTGGGCTCAAAGTAAAAAGTCAAAATGTTTAAATTCTCAAATGAGCAATGAGGGATGCTGTTCTGCATCGATTCACTACAGTATCCAACACGTAACATTCCTATGGCTGGGACTAGTATTGCCATAAGACACAACTACTGTTGATTTACCAAAGATGTACTCATTTATTGACCTTGAAAGAAAAAAATTATACCGATTTAAGAAGGGTCAATTCATTTGAGGCTAGATAATAATTGAGAAAGCGCTAATAGTATAACAAATTACTACAAGGACATCTATAAACTTTCATTAGCCAGAAGAGATGAACGATAGGTGTTGAGGTCGCAGGACTTTTTTTAGACCCTATCATACAATACCTGTTCACCATGGGTTACAGTCACACTCAAGCAAGAGGCAAGTGCCTATGACATTCAAGTGACTGACCAGTGCAACAATATAATAACAATTTCACTGTCAGCAGAACAACTGTTTCATTGCTTACCGTAGTCCACTCCTACAGCATTAACATTTTTCTGCTATAGGTCAGGTGTAGTAGTCTCCAAGACTACACCTAAAGGTGTGGACATTTTTAAGTGCAGTCGGATGTATCTAGAACTTATTTCACGCTGTACACAGCCACCCATGCGGGGGAAGGGCAACAAACTATTAACAAAAAGCAGTTCAAGAAATTTGTTTTTAATCAAGACTTAAAAGTGCATAGCTCAAGTGGCTTCCTAATATCGGAAAGAAGAGCGTTCCAGATGGCCGTAGAAGAGCATCTGAAAGCGCACGATGCAGTGACCGTCTTTGTACGATGGCAAGCCCCTTTGTGTGGAATGAGTACGACCTTAGAATATATTCGTTCAGCAACCAGAAGCCAAATGCAGCGAGGCAAGCACTAGGTGGGCATGGTCAGATCTTGCAGCACCAGTCGGGTTGGATGGAAAAATAATTCTAGAGGCTGGAAAAAGGTTGACCAGGGGGCCTCCTTGTGACTGCCAATTGGAAGTTGAGCTGGAAGTCGAACAGCTATTCTGCACACATTGTTTACGAAAGGGATGACCAGTGTGGTGTCCCATCATGCATGGGCCATTAGCACCATTCTTAGGTCACCCTAGTGACTCACTGCATTAGCTGTGTGGCTCAGCGTGTCAACGATGATGATGTCAGAGGACTATTTTAAAATGCAATATTAGGGTTGGAGTATTGCTTGAATAGGATAATGTAGGTTTAGCATACGTATCGATTCAAGCAAGAAACGCACAAAAAATGCGTGGAAATATGCACACTACTTGGGGCGTGTAGCTAGTTTACAAGTGGTGTGCATGCAAAATACAATATCCATAAAAAAAAGTGTGCGAATGAATGCATAAATAACATTGAAACATGCTTTTCATGCCAACGAGACTTGCAGCCAAAAATAACTCTGCTGCCAAAAATGATCATCGGTCAAAGTGTGTTTCAAAGTTGACAAGGCAATTATTCAGAGTGCATCACATCATGGGCGGTGGGCAGTTTGTGGTTTGTTAGACACCACAGTAAGGGGGAATGGAACCAGATAGGCTAATTAGTCAATTAGAAAAGCCATAAAAGAGTTTTTGTAGCAGGGACGTTTGATGAAGTGTTTTTTGGTTCATGGTTTGGATTGTTTTTCCTCTACACACTTCACAATCGTGATTTATAAATGTGTTGAATGTCTTCAGAAATGCAATGGCTTACAAACACCCACTGGCAACAGTCAATGCAAGTCAAACACTTCATCAAGATAAAAACTACTTAAAATCTCACGATGATTGTATTGGATTGCACACGTCACCAAAGAGATGGTGATCTTCATCCATTAACTAAGAAAAGACACCAGGTCCCTCCTTCCCCTCTCATCCACAGCTAAAGTAAAAGCATCTTTGATAACAGGAGTGATTGAAATTTTAATTTATACCACACCCGTCATATCCAATACACTTAAAATCCTTACAATGTAACGGTGATTATATCCTGAAGCGCAGTTGTCTCAAACCATCGAGCTCTTTCTTTCTTTGTTACAGTAAAACAGCTATTATTTTAATTGACATGATTTATGTTACGCGTGCTTGGTTGTTTGTACATGTTTTGTTTCTTTATCTAGATCTACTGTATCCTGACACTACTGTAAAAAAATTACATTTATTCTATTGACATGCTCATTCCAACTAGAATATTTAGTATGTGTTTTTTTGTCATTGGTGGCCATCAACTATGACTGTAAATTTAGTTTAATGGTGGGGTGATTTAAACCTGGGTTCCAAACACAAACCCCATCATTGCGATCTCTTTGCTGCATCTCTCAGTGGTGCTGTAGATTGAACGTAAACCCCTGGCTGCTATCCGGCCACTGCTGACTATCGCTTATGAACAATGTGTGTTGTACCAGCAAACCAACAAACAAATCTACCTTGGTCATCCGCCAAGAGAAGCTTCCCCTTTAAATAGCTACTGGATTACATCATTAAACCATGGCACACGAACAGGATCAAACTGATATTCCGCCATGTATGTGTACTCTCATTCTAAGGTGGTGTCAATGTGTGGATTTCAATGTGCTTCATTCTGGATTCCTGTGTATTAATACTGATAAGGGCCGATTGATGTACGAGTAAAATAAGTAACATTTAAAAATACTTTTTTTTAAACACGCTTTAATGAAATGTACCCTACTCGTAATGGCAGAACTCCACGACTCCAGGAAGTGGCCACAAAGCTTGCCACAACGTAAAGGACCATGGCGATTTACAGCCAACGTCAGTTGAGCGTGGACAATTAGACCCAAGCCGAAACATAACATATAAAAATGAATGTTTAAAAATACTTTTTTTTATTTTTTATAGAATACAGTATTGTCATCAGTATGACATAAGTATACCAAGTTTGCAGTCGATACCACATTGGGAAGTGGGTTAAAATTGAGTTACAAGATTTGAGGATACGACAACAACAATAGACAGTGAGTTAAATGAAAGCGTGTAATATATGTTTCGTGTGGATAGCTCAGGACAAAAAAGAGTAGGAAAATAGGACCAGGAAGACAATCCCCAAGTGTGTAGCAAAATGGCAGAAAAAATATGTTTTAGGATTATACAGTATGTTGTCCAGCGTGATGTCCGACGTTTCGCTCCACGAGCTGGGGGCTTTTTCATAAATTGAATGGAGCAACTCACACGTTCTCCCACGATTACATAAAGTTGGCGGCTACTGTTGCTGATCTCTGATGTAGGCCAGCCGGTAATTTATTATCTCAATCACCTGTGCACACAAGCTCATCACTGGTGTATACGCCCAGCCTATAAAACACAACTGCCACAATACGCTGCCGTAAGAAGAAAATATATACCGCACAGTGAATGTAATGTTTACATCCCTCCAGGAGAAAACAAAACGACCGCTCGTGCAACAGAAAACCTTTCAACTAAATTACACACTGCTATATGGGGGTACGCACCTCTTGGCATCATCCTCCTTGGGTTTGATAGACATGATGTCACGGCCATTGAGGATCTGCTCGATGTTCTTGGCGTCGGGAGCGCCATTCTGGTCCGGAGGCCCCGAGAGGCCGAGCAGAGAGCGCACACGCTGCGACCGCACGTCCAAGATCGTGTCCGTGTAGCCCACCTCCTGCAGGTACCTGCGTCAGCGCCGCGGGCATCGCAGACGCGTCGCGTACACGCACGCACACGAGCTGGGGCGACCGCACTGGGAGCAAGGACACAACTACAGCAACAGCACTGGGACCAAGAGACACTGTTGCACGTGACTGTAGAATGGCTGTTAATGCTGTTCGTGCTAATAAAGGAAAGAAAGGAACACTCGCATTTTATACCAAAGCAGTTTGCTTTCCTTAAATAAAACTATTCAGTATTTGTCTTTTTCGTATTTGTGGACTGGGCATTGCATTGTTATACATTGTATGATCTTGTTCTGGATGACCACAGTCGCACACTGCTGGAGAGTTTTTATTTTCCATTTGTGCACCAGTTTCTTGACCAGGTTGACCCTTGTTTTGGTCTTGGCAGCTACCTTCTTCAGGTGGTCATGGAAGATCACAAACTAGCGTCACTTAACAAGCACCCACCCTACATTTTACAAAAGTCAAACATACTGCCCGACATTAACTGCTCCAGTGTAACTGGACAGTCACTCGATGGCCTGAAGAGCAATTCACTATCAATTCACTACCATTCCCCTCACTACCAGTGTGGTCGTGAGGGGAACGGTCAAGTCATAAATAAACACATGTAAAGGGTGTGTTTTATTGCTGAACTAAATTAATAGGTTTTCAGGATAAATGTAAACCGGTAAAATGTGTTTAAACAAGTAAAAACTTGGGACTCGTTTTGATTACTGGATTTTATCAGGAATTGGTGGCCTATGTAATCTTCTATAACTCACAATCCGCTAAGAAAATTAACACTTCACTTGGAAATTAATTCACTCATCAAAGCAGTCAGCGAAGGACCTTTGCGCCAAATGCCTGACATCCTTCGACAGCATTCACATTAACTGCTCTTGCTGCCACACCGGTGTCAAGTGATTTGTTTGATCCACGTATCGCGAGAGCGACTATGGGGGGGGGGGGGGGGGGCACCTTTCCTTTCAGGGTCGCAGTCCTCACTTCAAACGTCAACCGCCAACTAGAGTGCGCAATTTTCTCGAGTTTGCGCATCAAGATGGGTGACATGTAAACAAAGTTCAGCCATCTCCATCGAACTAAGCTCTCAGTCGCTAGGAGACTGGTCGCAAATGCAATGGTGACATTTCTGACGAAGTCAAACCATCGGATGCCAAAAAGGCGTCTTCGGCACCGCATGTGGAAGGGACTGCAGCCAATCCAACATTTTTAAAGGAAGTTTATTTATTCTGCATGATGCAAATGCGGATTAAATTCCTTCTTTTCTTCAAATAATGAGACTGGAATCATCATCACCAGCCATCCATGCTCCACTCCTAGAACAAGGCCCCCACATGTTGATGACAGCACTGGCTCCAGCCACGTGCATTTCCCACAAACATGTGACTTCAGAATTCATCACCACTGTCCGCCCCCTGGGGTCATGCCCCAATGCGTGCCAAATGCCACCAATTCAATGACCACCCGCTCAGCACGCAGTGCTCAAATACAGGAGCCAAACGGTTGGGATTGCGCGAGGCAGACGCATGTTTAACAATCCGCCGCTGCCTCAGCGTGCGAATTAAAAAGCGTAATCCAAGAACTTGGGACAGCAGCATTGGGTACTTAACAGGATGCTTGAATAAGACGGTCACCCTAGCGCACACGATGCAAGTGCTTGCCCTGGGCGGTGGTACACCAATGAACCAACATCAACATAAGTAGAGAAATCAATAGTTTTCTCGTCACGTGCATTATTACAACTTGAGCGGCAGCAGGCATGTTCCTTTGTGTCAACTGCAATGTGCGGTCGAGTCTGTGGCGGGAGCGACAATGCCGAATGCTGTGTCATAGTGCGGTTTGTGCTTTTAACTATTTTATGTATTTACCAAGTAAGGCACACTGAGCTATTCAGCTCTTTTTCAGAAGCGACCTGGCCACAAATGACAGCTAAACAAAGTGGCTTAACATAGAGAATTTTATAGCAGCCAATTACTCTAAACGTATTTTTATGAATATGAAGGAAAAAAACCAGAGGCCCTGGAGAAAAATCTACACGACCACGGAGAGAAGCTGCAAACTTCAAATATAAAGGCGTATATGCACAATATACATGTACGACCCCTGATCAATCCACTGCTGGATGAGGACCTCCATACGATGTGCAGTTCTTGGAGTTTACGTGATTGTGCTTTGCCACGCTGGTCAGCGCGGGTTCATAAAGGCAGAGAACAAAGCCATGGGAGGATAGAAGTGCAGTACAACAATGGATTTAATTGCACTGCCCTCTGCTGCCCACCACATAGTTTGTTGATAATGTAGAGAAATACAACATCGTGCCTTTATTCTATAACAGGTAGCACTGAGTAATGTGGTGCAGTCTGTGGTACAGGATGTGAGTGACTGGGGCACTGCAATGTGTTGTGCAAAATATAATGAATGCTGGGTGGTATGTTGAAATGTGTAAAGTGAGGTATTGGGAGCCTTTGCCACTCCATTTGAACTCAAAGTGTACCTAGCCTGGCACAAACAAGATGAAGACAATGTCATGGCAGCTCAGCTGTTGTAGCAATAGATGGCAAGGCATGGTAGTGGTCTGGAAAGGTGAGTTACAGTGTGTGGTGTAGAGTATGAGGGGTAAAGTGTGAAACAGTGCAAGGCATTATATTGGACACAATAGATATTGCCTAGTGGGGCGACGCAGAGTGTGACCTACTGGCGCAGGAGCTGCCGTCCTTGCCTCCATGTCAGCTGGCTGTTGGAGGTCACCACCGGGGTGTCCGTGTCATTTGTCTCTTCTACAAACACAGACGAATACCAGTGTGAGCCAGCGCAGATAGGACATTCACTCAACGCTGCCACGAGTGATGCGAGAAAACACAGTGACGAATACAGTACAAACACACAAGACATGCGGACACAAAAGGGGCTTTTTATTATGCCTCAGCCGTTTATGTCGAATTCAATGAATACAGAGCAATTTTTCATTTTCAAGTAACAGACACAAAGCAAATAGCCGATAGAAATGTGATCAAACCGGTGTTATCTTACAAATATGCAAAGAAACAGCTACAATGTGTTCCTGTTTGCAGAGGCAAAGAGAAACAGAGACACTCATTCAGGTAATAGATAAATGTTATTTCGGTCAACTCACAACTGACAGGTCTGCAGCAACACACAAACCAGAAAAATGTAAGCGGTCATTCTTCACCATAACCAAGTGAGAGGTTTGTCCATAGCCATCGATTGCCTAGCCAGGTGGGGCTGTGGCATGGTCAGTGCCACAATTACAACTATTGCGAGTTCAAATCCCTAATATCAATTCATCTTATCAGCTCTCCAAGGTTTATAAAAAATGTAGTACCAAATTTTAGGAAAAGCAAAAGACACATTTATATATTTACACGATCGAACCCAAAAAACCTTTTATAAAAGCAAAATACATTTGTACTTTGGAGAAACTAATACCTGCAAAGTGAATATGGGATTTCCACAACTGGCTCAAGATTGTCAACAGATTAATGCTGCCCGACACTAATTTGCAAGTGGATACAAGTTTACTTGTAAACCTTGAGAGGTCGTGGTGATGATGCCCGTTGATGATGCCCAGAGTCACTTACAATATTTACATTCCTGTTGCTCCATTGAATGTGTGCAGCTACACGCCATAATACAATTCCACTTGGGTTTAACAATCACAATTGTTTCATATTAAATACACTACGCACTCTTGATTGATTGGAATGCAATCGCGACAGCTCAAAATAATTGCCAGGAGCAGAGCCTCTGCAATGAACAAAATGGTGGCCAATTTATATTTGGATAGATGGACAGAAACTAAAAACTCAAACTGAACTATTTCAAAAATGTATTACTTTCTGCAATGTCTCATTTTTTTCTTTTTTAGCTTGGAGGGTGCAATTCGTTGTGTGGATGCCCTAAATGGTTGGTGTGAGCTCTTAGGGCTCGCCTTTAAAAAAAAGAGAAGAGTGGGTGAATTTTGCCATTGGATTCTCCCAGCCAGATACTGTATTCGTCATGAAGGCATCATTAGAGTGCGATGAGCTAGAATAACACCGTACTGTGCTGCGAGACAGAAAACTAAGTTGCAATTTTCAACATAAAACTGCTGCACAACATTTGTAGGCTGGAATAAAATTGCATACAATGTAGATGCACCGACTGCATTCATAATAATAATGTGAAAACACGCAGCCCTATATTACAGCCCGACAAAATGTGTCAAGTGGGATTCGCTGCCCTATCTTTGCGAGGCCAAAATTAAACGCGTTTGTAGAGCGATTGACACCAGCTGGGAAGATAAGGAACACATGAAATGATTTTCATTGCATGAATCTACAACAACCAAAATTAACAGCATTGTAATACAAAACAGATGTTCCCTAAGACTGCAGAAACATTGGCATTGCTTATTCCACCTTATCGTAGATGCACTTTAATGGAAAATGTGCATCCATTTTGCTTGGACCAAATTATTTATCAAAAGAGAAAAAAATGCACGCAGTCGTTACTGTAGAGGTCTACAACTGTTACAGGCCAGTGTCACACGACATTCGCTCAGTGATTTTCTAAGTTATGACGGCTGTTTAAAATATATATACAAAGCACGTTATCAACCATCATGACCAGAAGCAGCTATCGTGTGTTTATTTTTAAGGTTGCAGGTTCAGTGGAGGGGGGAAAGTTAATATGCAGGTGGAAAGCTGAGCGTGATTGCAAGTGTAAAGCTTAGCTGGCAAAGACAAAACAATCAGCACATATACGAGGAGCAATGCATGCAAATAGCGGGTGCTGTGCTGCATTAACTTTAATGGAATTCTAAAATCCCCATCTCCGAGTTCAGTGCCGATAGCACTAGGGTGACCAATGCATTTTAAACACTAAATATACTTCCAATAAACCACTCATGAGCAAAGAGTCTTCCTAGGAATTATATGGTCATTGCTATCTTAAGAAAACACACACTCTCAATTGTGAATGACCGATATGATTTCTCATCATGTTCTAGAAAGGCAAGAGCTGAAACTGGTACAAATATAGTGCAGTCTATGCCTATTAACAGGAAAATCATAAAAGCTACCTCATTTCAGACCTCCAAATATGCAGTGAGAATTTTTTTTTTGAAGAATGGCCCAGCAAATGTTGAAACGTGGAAAATTTGAAGAATGATGAATAGAATTGACATATTTTCAATAACCTAAATATTCTGGTAAATATTTGTACGAGTCACTGAAGCAAATATTAAGCAGGAAAAACCCTCTAGCAGTCACCAGCATATATGTGCATACATATATACACACACACATATATCCTTGGGAATAGTTTGACGTGTGCTTAAAAAACCAGACAGGCTCAGGGATCATCACCCTTGTGATGGGCTTCATGGCCAAGACGGTGGGAGTGGCCGCAGAAGCACACGCCAGCACGACAGCATCACGAGAGCGCTCTACTCTGGTGGCCCAGCACACACTGCTCAGTGAATGACCGATATAATTTCTTGTGACTTGAACTGGGTTATTTACCATCACCCATTTGCTGATTATGGCCTCCCCAAGATGTTTGCCATCCTTCATGGTCACGCAGTGCAACAATCCATCTACGTCCTGCACATGAGCTGATTTATTCACCATCTACATGGCGGCCACTCTCGGGCATGTTCCCTCCTTTGGTAACCACTCCATCATTATTCTCAACCACACAATGAATATTAGTCATACATTGTGGCAGGACACAGCATCTGCCAGCACAGCTCATGCCATGCAAGCGAGGCTATTATAGGTCGGTCTGTGCATCCAAATGCTGGCGGCACAACTGAAATGTCTGCTTGTTCAGACCATAGGGATAAAGGCCAAGTGAAATTCAGAATTATGAGGTCTCCCTGCTCATACATGTACTGTAGGAGCACTTATCACTGTCAGCGGGCCCTAAGCCGGGTCAATACCACATGCATATGGACACCACGAGTACATTACATACAAATAAAAGGCTGCATCATGTTGCAATGAAGCACTGCATGCTCCACAATTGCTAAATCCAATCCTTTTATGAGGCATGCTATTTGTAATCAACTGATTCCATTCAGCAAATACTTCTCAAAGGAATATACATTAGGGAAAATGTACTTGAAGTATAAAGGGTCAGAGACAAATTCAGAATAGAATGTAGTAAGAAAACATTGTAAACGCAATCAGGGACTAGAGGTTGTGGTGGATGGGGTACATTTATAGAATGGAAGATGGCAGGTTACTAACACAGGCATTGGAGAGGTACCCCGAGGTCAGCGACAAAACAGCAGGCTGAACACGAGAGTGTGGTGATAATGATGTAAGGACAGACCATGGAAGTCAGTTGTTGACTGTACAGTGCAAAGGTGGCAGGATCTGGCAGAGAAAAGGCCGTGAAGTGATGACAATGTGTCAAGTAAACACTGGCAGTGCCATTAGGGATGAAGGGATTTAAACTAAAATATAAACTATTTTACAAGCACCCTAGCCCAACAAAACCTTCCTATCAACATCTGCACCTGAGCACATGTGGCTTAGGATAAGGCAGCCATTTAAATTTTGAAAGCCGTTCCTCTTTAAGCAAAAAAATTCAGCATGGAAAAACAATAACATTTTTAAACATGTGTGGTTCCTGTAAGAACACGTTTTATTTTTATTGTAATACTCAGCTTCAATGTGATGTCTTCTCATGATGAACATTGAAAGACAGTTTAAATTGACATTGTTAACTATAGATGCACTTTGTCCCTGTTATGTAAGACGGCCCATAATTTAGAAAGCTGTTACATACAAAAACTCCGGTTTTGCCAGGCAAATGGCATAAATATACACATGATCCATGCTACAAGTGTAAATGTACCAACACTAATTATGTGTTTGCTATCAATTCCAATTGTATCCATCTTACACAATTGAGGTTATAAACATGGATGCAGTGAATATCCGCTTCGCATCATGTGGGTCCAGCTATCCTCTGGCACTTTTCAACGGTTGGGTCTGAACCAAAAGAATCCCCCACACAAAGCGAAGCATTTCGTTTTTTGACCACTGGAGGCCGCCAAAGTCACGTGACCACCACAGCACATGGTGCTTTTTGGGCAGAGTGCAGTGTGGGAAGAGGGTTGAACCAGAGACGTGTAACGCCCAGTAATAAAACAAGCCCAAGTCTGCTTGTACCATTCTTCAAAGGCATTTGCTCACTACTGTAACGCACGTGAACGTCACAATGACCTTGCAATGTACTGCAACTCGGTGTTGTACAAACAAGTTGGGCACAGTCACCAGCTGTATATGCACAGAGAACTCATAACTCAGGAAGAAGTGCAAATGCACATCACACAATTAGGATTACGGTTGATATGAGGAAGTGTGACACCTGAAAACTTAGACCAGTGGTTCTCAACCTTTACTGCAGCCTTGCACCCCTTTGCTTCTCAATTGTATTTTTTATATAAATACATAGGTTTGATGAAACAAAGCAGGTGTACTTACGTGCCTGTACTTAATGTGTTCCGATTATTTACCTTCTAAAAAAAATCTAGCATGTCTCGCATCCCCCAGAAAGGGCATCTCACACCCCCAGGGGGTCAGTGCACCCCAGGTTAAGAAACGAATCAGATCTCTCCTCCCACTGTTCACGTATCAAGATACACCTTGGTATATCCATAATAGACTGCTGCAGGTTGTAGGTTATGAGTTTCCATACTCTTTTAGTATTCACGTCATTGCAGTCTGCTGTAAGAGATGTTGACAAAAACTACTCAATCTATGCC